CATACACACTGTTAACATAATATACAACAACCCTATTACAATTACATTTATGACAATCTAATCCATAATGAACTGATTAATTTAAACACACAATAAAACTCCTACTTTATTCTTCCTTCTTTAATACACCTTATCAAAAGGTCCAGCTTTTGCTGCACTTGTAGAGCCCCTATCATATTCCCTAATTTTCTTTTTAAAATAAGAAGCATAATAAAAGCAACAAGCGAAATTCCCTATTTCATTAGGAGTGGTACTTTTAATTTATTAGTCTTTGCATTTCTTAGCCTAATGCTACTTAAGAAATACTTGGTAGTTGGCACTCTATAAGTACCTTGATAATCTCCTTGACATCATCATCTGTTATTCAACAACATAGTTTGAGAATATCTTAATGCTTGATTCTGTAATACAACTAAATCTTCAAGTGTGATACTTAAAATTTTTTAGATATGACGTAGAAGAGGATCTAAGTGTGATATCTACGTTCTTATTCCCAAATTCTTTAGTAGGAAAAATAACTCTGTTTTTCATACATTATTTGCTATTAGAGCTAGAAGAATCTTGCACTCTAAAATCTCAAAACCCTACATCCAAACTGGTCTAAACCTATGAGAAAAAAAGGTATATATAGAAACCCTTAAAATATTGCTAGTCCACCCACAAGCCACTGCTAGTTAGTGACACACCCCTCCATTGAACTCAGGACCCTTGTAACCCTGCTGTGAAATTCTAGCGGAAAATGTGTCATTCACCAATGCAAATTCTTCCAAAAGCAGCCTCTCTAGATCTCGTACTTCCACACAACCATATATCTAACCAATCTCCTATTGAAACCCTTACCTAAAATCAAGTCAACTAGTAAATGCTTGCCGCTGTCAGGTGAGTGCAAGCCAGCGCATGAGTTTCATGTCTGAGCTTCGAGTGGGCTCTATTAAATCGTGCTCTGTTTTAACTTTTTAATTGGGTTTGACAAACTCGGTTCACCAATATCAGTTTACCTCATTCCGGACTGGTTTTTAGCAGTTCAAAACTATTCCCATGAATTTTTGAATGATCTCCATACTTTTGCAGTCCTCTTTACAAAAGTTACACTCTACTGTTATAGAAAGTTTTAACATGTAGAATCCTAAGGAAGAGAATGAGTTGTCATCCAGAAAATGTCAAAACTGACAAGCCTTTCTTGGCTGTAGCTAGGCACAATAACCAGTTAAAGTGAATGAAGATTTGAGCGCCATCACGTAAGAATTTGGGACCTCAACCTCTACCGAAAAATGGATCAGCACCGCACAATGGGGACATTGGACTGAAGCTTTCCACTGTGATGCCTGTGCTGCCAAACGTGTTCGTGCCCCATCTCCAGCCCTTTTTTCATTCTTCATACCCCCCGGCAGGATTAATCACTGGTTTTTCCGCCAGCTCAAAAGCCGCGTTCATAAACTTCAACCAGCCACTCCCCTGTGCTCCTTCTGGAATGAACATTCTCTTCGCATTCCTGCCCCACACAATAGAGAATACTAGGAACAAACCTCTCCTATTACTGCTGAATGAGATCCATAACTCATTGCTTTGGCCGTTGAAGTGCTTAGCCCATGGAACCCCATTCCTTCAGTAGAAATCCTCAAGAACATTCAAAAACCAACCTACCTCATCCTTGTTTAGGGAAATCGAAGTCTGGAAACCACTTCCATTCTCTCTTATTCTCAATCCATCCACCCTCCGACCTTCACTGATCAGATCAAAGGATTTGTTGTCAATAACCAGAAACCTTCACCCCCTCTGGTTTGAGTTCCCACTCAAAGTGGTCGGGCCCCATTGGCCGGCCCGAGGCCTTTGAAGAGAACCGGATCTCTTCGTGTACTCTACCTCTCTAGAACTCTCTCTCTCTCTAGTTGATCCTGCGCCACATTAAACCCAGGTCAAGCGGGTCTATGTTGGTTCATTTATAAACAAGTCGTGTATCGGTTTAGAAATCATGACCTTATAGATAAATGAGTTGTATAAGAATTAGGGATACTAGTCTATGACTGTTTAAGCACAATATGTGTTTTGCCACCCCAGGTAAGGGGAGAGAAACAAAGAGAGAAGGAACAACCTCTATTCCAGCGTTATATCAACTGGAGAAACTTAATGCGTATACTGTAGTCTTGAAATGGAAATGGGAGATTTTATTCATACATGGAAACAGTCTATTGTTCATAGGGATCTCTAAAGAAGAAAAGGTTTCCTCTTAAGCCATTAGCCATAGAGATGCATAGGGATGCTTAGTGATGCACCAGACGTTCTGAAGAAAGTGAAGATGTTCGGGAAAGCATATAGGATTCTTGATATTGGCACTTGAGTCACCACAATAATTTCTTACCGCATTTCTCTTAGAAGGAAGCTGTGCAAGAGGCATGTGGAGGATATCCGGACGCAATGGCCAACCTAACCGAAAACAATCAACAGACCTGCAATTAAACATAATTGAAAATATCAATCAGCACAATATGTACAATGCAAAATAAGTAAGATGTCCAATACCTGAAGTATTGATTTAGGACATCATAATTCCTCTGCTGTAAATCCTTTAATTTTCCTCTTTTGCTCTTTTTAGCTTCCTGTCAATATCCAACTGTTACAATTAAATATATAATTGAAAAAATTTTATACAAGGAAAATATGAAAAAAATCAAAAACTAATTGTAGGTCAAGAAATTGCATCCAATACCCTCGCAATCACTTCATAGACAGGTGTAATGACTTTCCTCAAAAAAGCCTCTTCACCTGCATAAGTTGGGCGCACGTACGCTCCTGTAATGACACTAACATTTCCAGCCAGCAAACCATAAAGTTCAAATGCAGTCTGCAGTTAAGAAAGAATAAAAATGCTTAGATGTCCAATAAGGTAAATATAGCACAAAAGAATTTACTGGGAGACAGATAACTAGGCATTCAAGAACAAACTAGAGGAAATGTTAATCCGGATTCACCACGAGAAACGGAAGACAGATAACTATACACGGACTCAACCGGCTCAATACTAATGGGATGTTGCAAATACATAGACTAAGTCGTGCTCTTTCACCAGATGTTTGCACTACGTGTAGGTGCAGGCCAAGCTGCACAACCATGTTTTTTTGCAGTGTGATGCAGCAGGGCAGTTTTGGATTAGATTGTTTGGCATGTTTGGACTTATGTGAATTGAATTCAGAAACTTGCCCACACTACAGGAATATAGGCATTGGCGCCATCACCTTGAATCTACATTCCAGTTTGGCTCTATCAACCAATATTAACAGCAACTTAGGTGAAACTAAACCTGTAACAGCTAAACTCATTCTGATAATGATTAAAAATATTAAAGAAAACCCATCCTACAATGAACGACGGTTCTAACAGATTGGACCTAGAAATAGATCTTAAATCATGCCTTTTTTTCATTTATACAGATGCATGGTCTTTCCTTGAGGATCTAGATCGGTGTCCTACAAATAAGGTTAAAATTAGATGGTAAACAAAAGCTTTGGCAGGGATGATTATTCCATTTTTTAGCTATTCATTTAGGTTATTATTAAGCTTCATAAGTAGAACAAAGAACATTTTTCATTAGAATCTAAGCTCTTCTTCATGAGCAAGTGGAATGGACCCTGAAAGGATAAGAATTGAAGAGAAGGCAAAGGATTAGGTTTGTGATATTGCACCCGACTGGTGGGAATCTGAATAATTTCTCAATTGGACAAAGACTCAGGCCGAGGAGATCATTTATGTTCCAGTGTATAGGGTGACTAGTGGATGCTTGCTTGTTAAATTCGGGAACGCTTCTTGTTATTGTCAAGATATGAAGGGGACCTCACACATGTAGGGTCTGTTTTCCTATAGGAAGATATAACAGGGGATGGAAAGAGGTGGCAGTTGTGCTGATTGATACGCAGGGCACAAAACTAAAGGAAGGCTCACCACAGGCAGAGGCAAGAAAAGAGCTGGGCGGCATGATTCATGCTGGAACTGCAGAGCAGGTTTTGTGGACTATAAAGCAGGATTTGTGGGCAACAGCTAGGTGGCAGATCAGAAGATTCAATTTTCAAAAGAGAAAAAATCTTGCCTCACAATCTCCTATAGATTCAAAATTTAAGAATAGATTCTGGGGAGGATTTTGTAGAATTGAAAACTCACTCACTGGAAGTCAATGTAGACCAAGAAGGAAAGAGAAACAGTGAGGTAGGGCTCAGCTAAATATATCCCAAAGAAGCTCTAAGGAGGCAGCAGCCTCTGGGCTGGGCTGTGAAGCAAAAAAAACCAGTTTCTTCGGGCTTAATAACAAAATTGAGCCCAATCTACATAACCCACAGCCTTCAGCAAATTTAACCCTTATTCGGGCCCAATCTAGATGTTATGGTTCCTACAAATAGATCTAGTTATGGGACAATTAATATGAAAATCTGCAGAAATGTTTAAGTGTCTTTGGGTCTTACATTTGGCAGTTGCTGTTTCTACCAAGAATAGAAATTGTTCCTTAATTTTTGTTCTCTAAGTCCCTAGTTCTAACATAAGAAAAGTATGGAAAGAAATTATTAAAAATGTTGAATACTTATTTACTCAAGGGACGGCAGGGTTCTCTCTGTTAAAAATAGTCCATAGAAACTGTTATACTGCTTACGAATAACTGCTACAACTGCCTAATCTTATCTTCCTGATTTCGTCGACTTTAACAACTACTTAATTGAATTTATTCCATACATATCGCCCTTATATAAGCACATAAAAACACTCCATAAACAAATGAAAAAGACACTTAAAAACCTGAAATTAGAAGAAATTAATTATGAATAAAAATAATAATAATTATTACTATCATTTTGGTACTCAGGATCCCTAACACCATATCTGGCTGAAAACCCAACAAGCTAGGATTTGAAGACCCAAACAGGCGATCCAAATCTGTGATTGAGCCGAATTCTAAGCCGTGTCCTAAACTAAAATTGATGACAGATGAGAGTAGCACCGCAGCTGGACAGAGGTGACTGAAGTCAATCATCATCGTCCACCCTCCCTCCTCCCTTGTGGTGGTGTAGCCAGAGAAGACAATCTTCCTTCAGGCAGAACAGAACCCTATCTCTTCCCCTCCTGTAGTTCAGCAGAATAGGGGAAAATCTGAGGTGGCGAGCCAGATTTTGCACATAAACAATTTTCAGATTACGTGAATGGACAAATCTTTGATCTACAACAATTATGCAAACATTGTGATGACAAAAATGGAGGGCAAAAGGGGCTGGAAACAGTGCAAGATTTTGAAATAGAACTATTGGAATCTTCTTCTAAAATATCAATTGCAGAGGAAGAGAAAAAATGTGAGGAAGATCTTGGCCAAGAGAAGGTTCACAGCAAGGACATAAATGTAAAATGGGAGGGGTTACAACTTGTGTTTGCAGATAAAATAGCAAAAATAGGACAAGGTAAGGGCAAAGATGAAGAACATCAAGAAAGGGATGGGTTAGAGCTGCATGGTGATCCAAATAAATGCATAGTACCAGAGAAGGAAACAGTGTGCAATCCAAACATTGAGACAATAAACAGTGTGAACCATCCTAACCTGCATACTTTTCCTAACTCACTTTTATTCCATGTTGACAAGGACCAATGACGAAATGACATCCTAAGGCAAAGGCATTCTACCCATTCCATATCACAAACATAAATATGGAAATCAAGCTGTGACTTGAAAGAGTATGGTATCACTAGGGAAGTACCATTGCCATAAAATCAATCTTGTTTGACAGTGGAAGCAGCTGAGGGTGGTAGTATCACCCAAGGCTTATGCTCGGGGATTGGGAATTTAGCACATAGGAGAGGTTTAGGTGGAGTAGGCGATGGATATGGGTCTTTGAAGTGTCCATGAGAGGTAAGTCAGAGGGTTAACGGACTAGGTAGAGCAGTAAAGAGGACAAAAAACAAAGAGGTATTAGTGAGAGCAAGTCCTAACATAGTAATGATTTAAGAAGTGAAAAAAGAAGAGATCAACACCATCCTAGGCCGAGGTGCGTGTGAAAGTTGGATCAATGTGTGAGTGATTTTACCATCAGTAGGTATTTCGAGGGGCATCCTAATCATTTAAGACTTTAAGTTTGCATCAAAAGTTGATGCAATTGAAGGAACCTTCTCGCTGTTAGTGCCTCTTAATTTAAAAAGAAAAGGAAGCTGTTGGTTCACCAGTGTATAAGGGCCAAAAAGATATAGACTTTGAGGTTTATTATGGGAGGAATTCTCCTTTTTGTCAGACCTCCGCAATTTGTTTTGATGTCTGGGAGAGAATCTCAACACTTCTAGATTTTCGGATGAGAGGCTTCGGGTGAATAGAATGACCATATAAAAAATTTAATACTTTCATAGAAGACTGCCAATTGTAAGACCTTTTAGCAAATAACTAATTTATTTGGATAGTTGATAGACAGGAGATAATCTCATCATGTTTAGACTGGTCTTTAATCTCTACAAGTGGAGAGCATAACATTTCCTAATATAATTGTTTATATGAATATTTTGTTATCTAAATAATTATGATATTTTTTCTTATATAGCTCTCATTATTAATTTTTTTATAATTATTTAAAATCTCTATTATAAAAGAAATTATCTTATTTGTATTTATAAATTCTTATATATATATGAGTTATTTGTAACATAAAAAATATAATAGAAATAAAATACATTTTTTTTTTTAAATTTCTACATGTTATCATAGCAAAATAAGGGTATCTTGGGATTTTAATTTTTAAGATTTCTTTCAAACTCTAAAATATTTTCAACACTCACCCAAATGGAGTCTTAGCATCATTGTCAGCCTGCTGCCCTTCTCTGGTGAGCGTCTTCACCATACCCAATCCCCTTGCTCTGGTCGCGCACGGTTGTTCGCCCGACCATTGCTTCTCCTTCGGCTGTCTCTCTTATTCGCACAAGCCATCTCTCTCTATTTCGCGCCTGACCCGACCCGCACAGCATCTGGTTCTCCTTCGCCTAGTCGTGCATCGCAGACTCGGTTCATATCCCTCTGAGTCGCGCTCGATCCAAACCGCACAGCCCTTAGTTCGCGCATTGCAGACTTGGGTTGGCGTAGTTTCTCCATTTGCACATCTCCCCAACCCATCTACCCTTGGTTTGTGCATGGCTCTCTGCACGGTTCTCCAATTCGCGCACGGGTCTTGTTTCGCAGCTCCGCCTTT